TTAAATTGAGCCTTCAGATATGTAGCATGAAAGTTTTATGCATGTGAAGCTGACCGGGGTTATGCAGTAATGGATCAGGCGAAACTGGGGAAAAGCCCCCCCCCCAAATTTCAGCCGCTGGCCGTGACTCCTCCCATCCCTAACAGCGTAAAGAATTCGTAATGCGGTAGAACACCAAAACGGTTCTATTCGAATATTCGTAATTGGTCCGTGAGACCTTCGACCTTGTGGTCTTGTATCCTGCAATCGAGTGGTGTTGTAGATACTCGAGTGATGTTGTAAGAGCACCAGACTCGACTGTTGTGCACTATCACTGTACACATGGTACGCGTGAGGTGTCGGTTGTAGCCTAGCCTTAAAGTTGAGCTGAAGTTTGCGTGTAAGTTTTCCCACAACAGCAGGTCTATTCTTAAGTTAGAGGGTCGTAAAATTATTGGAATTCCACAACTTTATTATGTTACTGAATAATAACGGTTAGAAAGGATTGGTTTATGCATTTCTAGTGTCTCACTGTGTTGGGGTTGGTGCCCAAGAGCGGGAGGGGATGCCGGCCGCGCCGGCGGGGAGGGGGAGCCACGAGTCACTAGCTGACTAGTTCGGTGCACCTCTACCTCCATGTTCAGTGTATCCTGGTGAGTTCATGAGGCTGAGTTCACCCCCACCCTTACCGTAAATTCAAAGGAATTTCATACATATGGACACCACTTATTCTTAGCTACAAACACACCTAGCCATCAGAAAGAGGCCTAGGCCTAAAGGACCTAAAGTAAAAAGTCAAAAATAGCACGGAAAATATTGGGGTATTCACATAAAAAACCCCAGAATTTTTCAGACCAGTCTCATAGGCATGATAGGGTTTTTGCACAGGGTGTCAAGCGGCGTCTATATGGAACTCTCTGGAAAACTGTTGCATCCCCACTCCACTTTTCTCATCATAGGCCTATATCATCTCAGTAAACGTCAGTCATTACAGAAATGCTGGAAAGACACGAATTCTGGACTGAGAAACATTTACCAATGTTGTCGGGAAATACTTCTCTTCACTCCCCATAGACGTTGTACACAGCTGCTGACGTGGAGTCGGGATGCAACATTTTTCCCCCGGAACTCTTAGTCTTCCAATTCAACGTTGTCATGAAAGAAACGTTAATTAAATTAGGAAGGATTTGCATCCTGATGGCATGACGCTGCTACATGGAGTAGGGTAATATTTTTTCACATTATAAATGAAAGAATCGCTGGCAAAACTGTGTTTGGCAATCAGCAGAAAAACCAAAAGAGTATTACTAATCCACAAAGTGATAAAAAAACCCCACAAAGTTATTAAAACACTACATAAGAAATATTACATGTACATAGGTCTATCTGAAAATAATTCACCTTGGCCCTAAGTGTGCATTTTGATTAAAAAAAGATATTGCCAATCCAAGGATGAACTTTCTACAGACTTTGTCAGCACTGGGCAGTTTTTGTAAATGAATATACATGTATAGGGGTAATTCCAGAAATAATGGGTCAATTTTTTTGGTGTGTCCCTGTCTCATCTGACAGATGATTTTGTAAGTTCAGAAGATATTTTCTAATTTCCAAGAGTGATGAATTAATGCAAAATACCTGCCAAACAAACAGTAATAGTTTGAAATCAATTCCGATGATATTTCCGTGTCAAATAACAAAGGTCAGATGTAACAGGGATACAAAAATGTCACACTTTTGGGCCCCTTATTTCTGGAGTTACCCATATTCGTTCCAATTATGTAAGTCATGAGGTTAGTGGTTCCAGAATATTGACAAGGATCGCTTCTTGTCATCTTGGGCGACTTTTTGTTCAACCAAAATTGTAGCACCGGGATATAACGTTTTCTTTTTCCTCAAGGGATGTGACTCGTACAGTCATTGCAACATCTGCCTCCGTGTAAGTCAACGTCTTGGAAGCAAAGATTCCTGCAGAGCTGGGGGCTGCAGGGGGAATAGTTCAAGGGGTTGATTGAGACAAAAATTTGGAGGGCGGGTCTTCAGTCTCCCGAGTCTGTAGCTGGATGTGCAACATGGGCATGATGAGCAGGGGCAAGTAGGGTGTGCTGCAACCAACCAGCCCCGTCTCCCTGCCCCCCCCAAAAAAAAAAGCAATATAAAATATTAGGGTTGCAATTTTTTCAAACTAGATAGCAAAAGCCTTGTTTGGAGAGCATGGAGGAATTGGTGTAGTTAGTACATATTGGGGGTCCTTAAATTTGGATTCAGAGCTTCTGAACTATTCTTGGGTGTTTAAATCACTGTTGTGATCACACTGACTCAATTCATTGCAACTTGAGTGCAAGTTGATCATAACTCACTGATGCTCAAGCCACAAGCTTTTACAGTGAATCAAGACAGATTTCAAACGATTTTACAATCTGATGTGTGGTTTGACTTGTGAATCCGCATATTACACCCTCATCAAACAACATTATTTTTTTCTCTCCTCACACACAGCAGAGTTTTTCTGTGATCATGGCCTTCAGACTATGACAAGCATCAAGCGAGGTTTGGTTGAAACCCCACAGGACTGCTTGTATTCACCTTTACCTCCGGACTGTTTAGTTTATTTACAATGGCTCTTCGACTCCTCTTCCGGCGTGTTGTCTACATGACCCGTGTCATATCACAGGGTGGCACCCCATGTATATGCAACAGGCTTCACCAATCAGCAGCTGTCTTCAATACTTCCAGCATTCTCAGATGGTCTCGCATGCCATTATGTGTGAGTTATCTACACGGGTCGCCAGTTCTGAATGCAAAGAAAGGTACTGGTAGCCTAAAGATGTAGTTTCAGTCATTTTTATTTATTTCTGACAATGTCAAGGATTGTGGTAGAGACTGTACAGCAGAGTTGTAAGAATTTATTAATAATTTTTGGAGACTCGACTCGCGTCTCGACGGGTAAATGACTCAACTCGACTCTAGTCTCTGCAGCCAATAGTAATAATAATAATTATAATAAAATAAACAGAATGAGTAAATGTTAAAAATATATAGAAATACATACAAGAAAGATTACTAACTTAGAGAACAAATCAGAAAAAGAAACAAAAGTTTAGATAAAATTGCGTTAAATTCAAAAGTTAAAATGAACAACAAAAATGGTAAAGCCAGTTGTGTGTAAAAACGAGAAAAAGTATTTAAAATATGCCACATTTAAAGATGAATTGTAAAAAAAGTAAGAAAAGTTGTTACTAAAACAACATTCAAACCTTTAAACAAATGCACTTTAGGGTCAATATAGCTCACTGTATTCATTATAGTAACATCAATATCACCAATATCAAACTTTACATTAAACAAATGTTGTTTGATATCAATAATAAAGAGTGATTTCAAATTGAATTGAAAGTTTCAGGAAGTAAGTTAGGTAAAAAGGTTTGTGGTAGCACCCTACAAGTATATCTCTCTTTTTTGAGTTGGTGGGGTTCTGAAAATAACCGGAGAATACTCAACGTTTCGGACAGTATGCTCTGGCTGTCCTCAGGAGACTGCAGAGGTTCCAACGGTGAAGCAGCTTATGAGTCGTTGTGCTGTACCGCAAACCTCTGTGCTTCACTTGGAACTTTCCCTTTGAAAAGTTTGAAGGCTCATCTTTCAGGGTGTGATCAAAGCATTGATCTGAAAACTGAATTGGCCCTGGCTTACAAACATTGGGAATATCGTGAGACTCTGAAGTAAAGCTCAGTACCTCAGTACACACTGAGTTTCCGTTCGTTGCACGATCTCTATCTGTCTATTATTTCATTCGCATGCTGTTTTGACATCGTGCACATGTACAAAGTGTCTAATCAATTTGACATCGTGCACATGTACAAAGTGTCTGATCAATTTGACATTGTGTACATGTACAAAGTGTCTAATCAATTTGACATTGTGCACATGTACAAAGTGTCTGATCAATTTGACATTGTGCACATGTACAAAGTGTCTAATCAATTTGACATCGTGCACATGTACAAAGTGTCTGATCAATATGCAACTCACACTTGGAGATTCTCAAATGATAAGGGGTGTTCATTACTTTTCCCAGCTTTCTCAGTATTCTGAGAGTCTGCAAATATTTGGCCCTTGCACTTTGTTAGGAATTTCCATGTGAGGAAAAAAATGGGGCAAATGTTCCCACACCCACGCCCCTCATTGCCACTGAGGATTTGAATTTTTTTAAAATGGAATACTTTTTGGTCCCAGTCCTTTCATTTTGTAGTCGCCCTATAATAAGTTGGTCTACCTGGCTGTACATGTAATTCCAGGCAAAAAGCACCAGTCCAAGGTGGATGTGAGTCGGTCAGCCGACGACAGCATCCTCGACCTGGAGCAGGTGCGTGATGACATGCAACAGGCGTTGGACGCCCTCAAGCAGGGTTACATGAAGTCACTCAACATACGCACGTCACAGGGTGAGACCAGCCGGCCCAGTTTCGTGGGCCAAGTTTGGTTGGAGACCATTTATCATCCAGTGGTCAATTTGGCCCCATGGCATAGGTACAAAATGTATCCAGGGTACCAGGCAAATCCACAAGTGGTCAGCAAATGATAATGGGAATTTTGCCCTGTACTCGAGTGTATTTATGAATACTGTATACTCAGTGCACATATATATGATGTATAGACTACGGATTTGAGTCCTGCCCAAGTCACCGTGTAGTTTTTTCACAATGGAGCCTTTTGACAACTCTGACTGTAAAGTGTTTGTGAGTACAGGTAGAATTGACATACGCCCAATGCAAAGATCTACCTCTCATGAAAAATGTTGGCAAGTGATCTCTGATCGGATTTAGCCATCTCTGTGCCTGCACGTATGAACAGTTTGCAAGTAATATGGAAAAGCAGAAATTTGAAAAGTATCCCACTTTTCTTGAACTGATTTGAAGTCTTGCAGGATTCAAGCGAAGTCACAAAATGTAGTGTTTTGTTGATTGATTTTCCAGGTGTGCTGGACCACATTCAAGTCTCAACAAATGACGGGAAATTTCCGCTGAACCAGCTGGGCCAGATCACATCCAAGTCGGCCAACATGCTGGTCGTCAACATGGCCAGCTTTCCTGAGGTCAGTTCTAAAAACATTCAGCCTCCTCTATGCATCTTTCTTATAATTGTGCTACAGTGTTGTACGCAAGTCTGTTACAAGGCTACATTAAAGGTAGTAGGAACCCTCCACATGTATCATCTACATAGTCCATTTTCATCATTCCTCTGTTTGCTCTTCCCGATACAAACTAAAATCCAAAAGTTGCTTACTTTTATTTTCACAGAGTGGGTAACAAATGAGAAAACTAACTGTTGGCAAAAACACTTCCGTGTCATCCTTTTTACAGGCAACACAAGCAGCTGCCAAAGCGATTCGGGATTCAGGCATGAACCTCAACCCCCAGGTGACAGACACGGTGATACAGGTCCCCATCCCCAAGTAAGTCATCATTACCTCCTTTTTCCCGACCCTTAACAGTGAAAATGAGAGATACTATAAATTAGGACTGCTTTCCAGACAGACAACAGAAAGGCAAACAGCATACTTGGAACAGCTCAGTGATTGCTGATAGTGTTGCACCGTACCATCTTTGGCCATGCTTGAAATTCCACCCTGCATTTTCTGTAGCTGTCAGTTAACATCCAGAATCTTAAAAACACATTGACAGAAGTTTAGATTTTGTTGTGAAGTTTGAAAAGTTGCCACAGTATGCCATGCATGAAACTACCAGAAGTATATGCACGTCGCACTTACTGCTAACATTTTGTGCAATGTGTCAATTTTTAGGGTAACAAAGGAACACAGGGAACATCTGGCCAAGCAGGCCAAGACCATGTGTGACAAATCCAAGGTGACGCTGCGACAGATACGCACCGGCTTTGTCAGCAGGATCAAGAAGCACAAAGACACGGCCTCCAAGGACACGCTGTTCGCACTGGAGAAGCAGATCGGGCAGATCGCAGATGCCAGTGCGGAGGACGCGGAGAAGTTGCTGGCAGCCAAGACAAAGGAGCTCCTGGGGAAGTGATCCTGGTCTTTGACAAAGATGGACAGAGACATTTCTTGGAGGAAGAATTGTGCCTTAAGATCATATAAGAGGATTGTGAAAGGGAGATATTGTGTGGCCTTGATGGCGAACTATCCATTCTGCATCACAAGTGAATCATGGAAAGTCATTGTATGATATGGAGGTTTTGAATGCATTCAAAATCCTGTGAGATAGAGACACCAGTTCAAGCCAACCATATTTTGACCAATTTGAGTTAGACCCCACTGGCTGTTGCCTCAAGGTAGAGTCCGCGTCCACACCGAAGTAACCATTTCTTGGTCATCTCTCCACCGTTAGCCCCTGGGGAGCCTTTTCTTCCACAGAATTGCCTGCACATGCTCAGTGGAATTGGTCCGTTCTTGCTCTCGGATATGTATTTAACCAAGGTTCATTTGTTTAACCCATTGAAACGGTGTGCTTTGGTCACTTAAGGATCTTGTGAAATGAGCTCACCAACAAACTATTTTCTGCTGTAGGGTTCCTGTCGTAAGTTACTCAGGGTTGGGGGAGTCATTCAAGGCCAGTAAACACTTCTCTCTGCGGGATCTTCTGCGGAATAAAATTTTGATTGGAATTGTAGGGCTGCCAGGAGGATATTTAAAGGTAAAAGAATGTGAATTTTGCATGACGAAGTAAACTGGAAAGAACCGAGTACAGATGTATCTTTGAGTCACTGTTATGTTTTTCATTTGTACTTGTTTTAACATTCAATTCTGACCTTGTCTACATCCCAAAGCTTTCCCCTTAGTATGTATTTTCTCATGAAAAACTCACTCATCACATGGCAATTGAAACGGTTCACATTTGCTTAACTGCTGAGCTTGGAATTATCTTCCTTCCCCAGTTTTGTTTCTGGCTGTGTTCATGCAAGTTTTATTTTCCGAGACGAGTGAATAAACTTATTTGCAATACAATTTCAGTTCAGCGTTCATGTTCCCACATTTCTATTGTTTAATAGGGGGGGAGTCTTAAAAGGGAAAACTGGAAAAGCAACTAACTGAAATGAAATTAAAGGGCCTTGTGGAAATTTGTTAATGGATGCCTAATGCAATTAGTCTGCAGGCCCCAATCCAGTTCAATGCTGACTGAAGGACCCCAGGAACGATTGTGTGGCCAAAATAATGGAATGCTAAAATCTCAGGAAAAAGATGTTGAATTTATGTAATTTTTTTCAGGGGGAATACCGTAGAATGCCCAGCCTAGCTAAATGTTCTTTTGAAAGCCCAACCCTCGGTCATCTGTTCTCTCAAAGCTACGCTCTGCACCAGGGAAAGCTAGGATACCCCCCCCCCCCAGCTCTTCCCCTTCCGCGCCCTGCGGCCGCATAGTGAAAATTGATATTGGGCGATTCGCGAATGGGCAAAAATCGAATCTGGGTGTTTTCGTGGTTGTGGTCAAAGATTGTATGGGTGGCGCTATATAATCTTTGGTTGTGGTTCCCCGGAAGGCATTCACGGACGGGAACGCTCAAGAATAGAGATTACGTCAAGCTGGTGTTACACACCAGGTGGGTTTTTCCGGAAAGTTCTCGCAAATTTAATGATTCATTGAAATATCTTGAGCGAGGAGTGCAAGACCTTCCATGAATAGTGCTTTGCTGTAAGAAAAATAAGTAATTCTTGTGTTTTTTGGCCGTTTTCGAACAGCCTAGCCGCTACAACGAGCAATACAATCCAACACAACAGCCGTCGTTTCTGCGTGTATTCATACCCGGCCTACTGACCCTAGCCGAAATTCGAAGGCAAAGTCTGCCTTGAATCTGTTACTGTGTTAGTACCGATAGGCCTTGTGCCCTTCAACGAGGTTCTGATCCATCATGTTGGACGTAACAGTGAAAACCTTGGACTCGAAGACCAGACAATTCTCAGTTCCTGAACAGGTAGGTAGGCAGGCCTACATGTCGGTCGTACTAATTAACGTCAACACAACGTCAACACACCGTCAACACGCATCAACACATGATAGTAACGTCAACACACCGTCAACACACCCAAATCACGTTCTAAATTCGATAGCAATATAATGCCTAAAATACAATTTTGCTAACAACAGTGGGCGACATTTGGGGGGGAAAAGCCGTTTTATTTCACGAAAGATGGTAGCCATGTTGCCTCTTGGTCAGACGGACCATACCATTACCCTACAGGGGGTCACCTTTATACAGTAAACCATGGTACAGTCCAAACGCGAAACGCCTTTAGAAGGCAAGATGGCGGCGAACGGCGGCGCTGCTCAGAGACAGTTTTTTGTGTGAAAAAACTCCCTTGAAACGTGTTAAAATGTAAACTCGATTAAGTAGAAATTATTCCTAAGCGTTTACATTACAGTTCGATACGTCGGTTTGTTTATTTCAATGCATTTTGTATGTGTTGACGGTGTGTTGACGTTACTATCAATGTGTCGACATGTGTTGACGGTGTGTTGACGCTGATTAGTATGACCCCTACATGTAGGCCGGCAATTAACCAGCTAGCACTGTAGGACAATATCTTCACTGTAGCCTTCAATTTAAATTCAAATTTGTTGGTCCTGTTTACGATTTGCTTCAGTGAACTGTATTCTACAAGGCAAGACTACGGGAAGAGTTCCATATACGGATGCCAGTAATTCTTCCCTACAATGACTTCATAGCCATCAGAAAGCAAAAACATGTCCAGAAAAGTTCAATTTAGGAGGAAACAAACCAAGTGGTTAACTGAGAAAACACAATTTTTCAGACCAGTCTCATAGGATTTGTGCACAGGGTGTCAAGTGGCGTCTGTATTTGGAGCTGTTTCCAAGAATTCTATTCCAGACTCTCGATTTTCACAAATTTTGGCCTAAATATTATAAATGTCAACATGACTTTAGGCTACTAAAGGGTACCTTATACATGTACCCTTAATAAGGGAGGAAAGGGATTCCAGTTACCCTACATTGACATGATTGAGGGGAATGTGTTCATAATTTAAACTGCAGTCATGGCAGTGGCTCAAGTTACAGACATTGAGACAAGTTGCTGTCAATTTTGTTGCACCAGAATGCTGCATTGGAAACGGAAACCAGACCAGTCTTTAATGTATGGATCTTGATCTCGGAATTTATTTCCCTGGAAAAGAAAATCCTCCAGGGATATGAATCTACCAAACATGCCAAAAAAACAAAAGAAAAACATGTATTGAAATTAAACATACAATCTAATTGCAAAAAATGACGGGAGAAAAAAAAGTTAGAAAATATGAAAAGGATATATGAAGCGTGGCTGAAACTCAGAATAATGTGCATATCGATATTTGGCTATTGCAATACCATGAGTTGTGGAAATCGAAACTTACACAGGTAGTTAGTAGTCTAGGAGAATGATAATTGTGTGTTGTGGTAACTATAGACTTTGGAGGTCACATTACAGTTTCCATGACTATTGCCACTTGGAATTTTAACAGTAGGGTAAACTCAGTAATGTTAATGACCATGACACGCAACATTTGTGATTGTCACACTTCAGTGCTATTCCGTGAAATTGAAATTGCTGTAATCACGGTTTTCACGAAGTAGCACGCAAGTGCAGTTGAGTGCTACTTTGTGGTGTTGGTGACGAACTGATGGAGTTGTCATTGGATGCAACACGTTGGAAATGCACGTGACATTATGCAATACATGTACATGTACTTGAATGTAGTTCCAGTTACGGTTTATCTCGGTGTATGACACCAATTTCCTTGACTGGTTTGATTTAATTGACTACACAGATCACAGTGAAGGAATTCAAAGAAAGGATTGCAGGTTCTGTGGTGAGTGTTAACTTTGGCAAATTTGTATTCTTTTATGTATAAATTTTATGATGATTGAAGTTTGTCTGATAGCTAGTCTCCTCAAACAGTGCCCCCGTGGGATTCCCCTCGATAACTATAACCCCCACCTTCTCCCCAGCCGCCTTTTCCTCCCCAATCTGGCCTGCATACCCCCTCCCATCTGTCCCTGGGATCCACCTCCCCTTGTACCACCCCTCCTGGTACCGTAACTCTTGGCAGTTTGCCCAGGTCCCACCTTTGCTATCATCAACTTTTCCCTCACATGCACAGAACATCCCGGCGGGCACCCAGCGCCTGATCTTCTGCGGGCGTGTCCTCCAGGATTCCAAGAAGCTCTCGGAGTACGATGTCAACGGGCGGACCATCCACCTGGTGGAGAAGCCACCTCCTTCCACGACGTCCACTGGCTCCAGCACATCGTCATCAACAACCAGATCACAGCCAGGTATTGCATGAAAGTCTCCGAATAAGGATAATACCATAGTGTGGCTGGTCCACTCCAAGACACATGCAGTAATTCAGTTTGCCTTGATAATCACAGGAAGAGAATACCACAACACAGCATGGCAGTATGACAATCAGCGTCACAATGCTCGGCGATAAATTTCGACTCCACATTCGAAGTCCGTGGGCTTTAATACATATTGTTCTGTTTATAAAATCTGCAGTTGATGATGGATACACGGACTCAGAACTAGTCTGTTGACAATTTGTGTGCCCTTGAGAACCCTGCTACTGGTACAGATTTTTATTTTAATCTCTTTTGTTTTTGTCAGTATGTGGCTTCTGAGGAAGCATTGTACAGGCAATGCACTTCATAGATAATTGCTAGGCATTAACCTTCAATGGACATGAATTACAACTCGTTCACCGTGCTTTTCTATGGTGTGTCGAACATTGACTCTGGGTTTTTCAAATGAATTGACGCAAAGCTTGGATACCATGGTTTACGACCGTAAGTAAATTGGACCGATTGCCCCAGCATCGCGGTGCGAACTGTGATTTGTAAGATGAAAGCTTGCACCACTTTAGCAGAGGTCTGTTGTCACAGAATGTACATGTATGAGTACCCGAAAAATGGTAACACTTCAGGCAAGGCAGTGTAATACAGATTATACACAGAATGAGGACTTTTGCTTTGACTGCATTTTATATCTGACAGGAGGCAGTGGAGGTGAAGGCAGAGACAGCTTCTTCATGGGTGCAATCACCGTGCAGGCCGATGTCGCTGACTCAGGGAATGTCCAGGTATGGAAAAATGATGGCCAAAGTTCTCCTATCTCCCCCCTCCCACTTGTGCTTTTAGCCCAGAGTTTGATGGGTCCTGATCTCAGGATTCAGCCGGTAGATAAGAAAAATCAAGTAGTGGAAATGTCGGCCAAGTGCGCAGTTTTTTGAAGTCACATACTTTTTAGATAGCACTTAACTTACAGTTGTTTTTTTCCTAGTTGATTGCTTAGGTCGTAAGCCAAATATTTGTCAGTTGGAGTTAGTTGGTGACTGACAGCTGTGGGGCTGAGTCAATTTGCATAATTCACTATTTGAATATTTGACCTTCAATTTGGTCGAATATCCGAATATTCGGATGTACTGACCGGCAGATTGTTGAAGAACAAAGCATATTAAAAAAATCAGTTCCAATAACGCACACAATTGCACGTTATTAATTTATAGTCACTTTCATAGCTTCTCATGTCTAGGAGTGTATCCAGCCACGATTTAGTAAAATTTAAGAGACAAACAATACTTTTTGCTGTGTTGAAAATTTTATTACTTTTAACTTTTTTATGAATAGTTTACTTTTTGAATCGTTGTAAGATTCTGTCGCTTTTCATTTGAATCTGCTTGAAACAAGCCTCCATAGTGCAACTTTTCTCATTTCAAACAAAAGAAACTTCTCCCTTCCTTTTCATAAATTTTGCATGCAAAGATTCAAATTTGGAAAATAATCTTGGAATATTCGATAATTGATTTAATATTCAGATATTCGGCACAGCCCTAGACAGCTGGAATCCTGCACAGTTAGTTCTGTGCTTTAAACATGGATTAAATTCAGTCAACAGCTGTGGTTAAGCAGAGTCTAATGAACTTTAGTTGATTGGAGGCTGGTCAGCTACAATTTGGCTAATCTGGTAGGCAGTGTTGGGCCAGATCAACTCTGCTGGTTATCAATGACTACATGTGTAGTAAGGTACAAGACTGTCTATGCTAGAGCAAACTGGTACTTTGGGTATCAAACCGTGGAATGTTACGGTCGAAAAAGGTGGCTTGGCGTCCGTGGAATGTTAACCTACCCAAGAGTGCGCCTTCGATTTCCTATTAATTGGAGAATTTTGGAGGATCCAGCGTATTTGCAAGCAGAAATTCCCTGGAGTTCATTAATGTGAAATTGCCAAGTTGGCCGAAGGCTGACTTTCTGCAATACTTGGCATCAATACATTGACTGTGTAAGGAACCATTTCATCACTTCCATGTAATGAAGTTTAAGCAATGTGTACTCTCCCTCACATCCAGCCCAACGGTTCCCACATGGACGTTCATATCAACTTGGGCCCCATCAACGTAGCCCCGCCTGTCAGCGCCTCCCAGCAACGCATCAACCAGATCCAGATTCTCCTGCGGCAGGTCAACGTGACCCTGGACCGGCTGGAGGTGAGTGTAACAGGCCTCACTGTCATCTGTCAACCTACCAGAATTTACCACCGTCAAAAAGAGCCTCTAGCATATCAATTTCTAACTGCAGGGGCCCGGTTTGATTATCTGCTTCTGGTCCATTTAGCCCGGTGCCCAGAGTATATTTTGTGCACAGGTCACCAGGGAACGTCAATGAGGTGCCCACACATGGTTGCTGATAGAACTTGGTCAGGCGCGGTGTGGGATCTGCGTGCGCCCCGTTCTTAGGCAGACTCGCTGAAATTTAAGTTTCATACATGAACACATGGACTTCATACACCTTCAACACTGTTTGTGTAGTTCAGTCATACAACGCATTTTGTAATAATTTATGCCAATAATTTGCATTATCCCTTTAATACCATACTCAGTGCAACAAGCGTCAATATACCACACTGCGAGGGTTTATGGTTATTATTATGTACGTGTGCATGAGCACTTCTCCGCAAGCTTAGTCACTGGAAGAACATAACATTTTGTACCCTCCGAGCTCAAAAACCGGACACTGTCTAAGAACGATGCATCTCAGTTTTGTAAAAAGATGCCAGTGTGGTGACACATAATGCTGTCTAAAATGTGGACCCTGTTTCTGTTCGTTATGTTTAAAGGGCTTTATCTCAAAAAGCATGTGTGATGAAAAGAAATTTTTATGAATATGCAAAATGCAAATAACGGCAAATGCTAAATGCTACTGGGATGAATTATGTATCAAATGAAAGCTTAAGATGTGAGCAATTTGATTATATATATAACCCAAATTCTCCAAAAGGTGACATAATACACTGTTTTACAGAGCCGGTCACAAGTTAAAATCACTTTGCTGTATGATTCATTCAGAATCCCATGCAGCAGCAAAGCACTCAGACGGAGCCCGCTTCTGCCGCTAGTGGGAGCACCCCTACTAGCAGTGCTGCACCAGCCAGTGGCAGCCCTCCGACCACCATCGGTGCCAGCACTCCAACCAATCAACAGGGTTCAGCCACCGACAGCCAGACTAGAGATAATCAGGGGAGGAGGATCATGACAGTGTCGTAAGCAAAACGCCTTCTTTTTCCCTCGTTTTTTTTTTTTTTTTTTTTCCCCTCTCTGAAATCCTGCAAAAATCATCAGGAGGTTTGGAGGATCCAGCAGGATTCAGGAAGACAGAGGGAAAGCACAGCGTCATTTGCTTGAAAAGCTAAGATTTGCAACGTTCAGTACATTTTTGGATAGTTTTGCAAAGTGAGTCTCAAAACGTTAGGAATATGACATTTATTTCACAGTGCTGTGGGTAGGAATGATGCCAGTTCTAGTAGGAGCTGTGACTTAACCATTTACCAGTCTCTCCTTGCTATTGTGCAATCCACGCTGGGAGTGCACCTTCACCGGCACGAAAGAGACTGGCGGGTGAGACCGTTTCACCTGGGCTTGTGCATGCACCCGATATGCATGCAGACTGTATTTTCAAACCAACATTGACTATGTGTGCACAGGGTTGCCCGTGCCAAATGAACATAAACCTGTGAATCCTACTGAATGATCAATCGTTGCTGTGGGAAAAACACCCCCATCTCGTTACTGCTCAGAGCTTATACAATCTCTCTCAATTGAGCCCTCAGAACTCTTGCTGATGCACACAGCCCAGTTTTCAACTAATCAACTAGTGTCGTCCAATCATGCCGCATTCGAGTGAAATTTTGTTGAATGCTCAAAGTTGCTGTAATTGGTCGATGGCCGGCATGCTGTGGCACCATATTATAACCGTGAAGATGTTGTCCTCCACCCAGACACCCCCGAGGCACCGTAATGGCGGACATTTTGACTGAGATGGCCCGGGTAGTTGACCGTCTGCAGCCCCATCTGGACCAGTACCGGGAACTGCTGAGCGGGGATCAGATCTTTGAAGGAGATGTAAGTGAGCACGCCAAAGATTCCAGATTGCCGTTACCCAACTAAAATGTAGCGAATGAGGAAGGACAGAGAAGGAGTTTGAACTGCCCGGGCTATAACATCTGGCCGATTACCACTTTCTGCCATGCCCGGTATGTCCATAGCGAGAGCGCAGCGCACGCCTGCTACTCACCACCCGTTTTGCAACCATAAGCTCCCTTTGTACCCCATGATCATCGCCGCAATTTTTCGTTGGTAATCTGCATCCCTAAAACGTTATATTCATGCCATTGTTGGTGCTTGATATGATCCGACAACAACATCAAATTTAGTGCTTGCGTAGTTGCTTTTATTAGGCTGTGTACCCAAAGTGTTCATGTGCAGTTGTTGCCCTTATCGAACGCTTTCTTCTGGATCTCTTTTCGGAATGAATAGCTGAGCTGTTTGTAAGATTTTGTGTTTTGTGTGAATCATTTTTATTATGCCATTTGTACCAAGGCACATTTTATGAGATTTCACGATCACTCTTTGTGATGAAATAGCGCATTTTGTTGCTAATGAACTAAGCTTTCCAGTAGTAGTGAACATTTTGTTGGCCAGTCTTAGCCAAATTCGTTCCAAGTCTTTGAATACTGATGTATTGGACGGAGGAGACTAGAATTACAAACTTTGCATGGATAATGTCAAAATTTTAAAAGTTTATTTATGATGGCAAAAGTAGGTCTAATATCAGGAATGTTTCTCTCTCTCTATTTCCTGGTCACATCGATAGTTTGTATTTAATTGCAAGCAAAAAACTACGAGTATTGCCAGGGTATTACTGGCCCCGCTTGTCCAGCTAAGATGCAGGCAGCAATAAGGCATTTTTGGAATGTTTTCTATTATTCGTCAGACTCGGCGGCGACCATCATTGGACGCTTTGAAGTGCCTGAGTTACAACTCCTTCTGTGTCCTTCCTCCATGCTCATACCTACATGTGCATGGTACACAGCTTCTCTCGCACTGCTGCTTGTTTTGCTGTGGGCTCGGAAAATGGTTGTTCCAATCTCTGACTTGTGTATTTGTGTATGGTATCACCCATCTTGCTGTTTCTTGTCGATATTTGTAAGGGCTTTGACTAACGAGTTCAAGGGCTCTTTTTTGATCAGTAACAGTCACCTGGGGCGCATAGCAGTGCAATCAAGACCTGATGGCCAGTCAGTATGCATAGATTGCATGCATCAGTCAAACGTCACCTCGCATATATTTACAAAGATGTTTAATCATTCAGAATGCTGACAATATGCGAACTCACCCTACGTTTGACCCACAGAATGAGCGTCAGTCAGCCCATCGTCTGCAGACCCTAGTCAACCAAGCCCTGCACTACATCAGCCACATCTACCATGCCGTCTCGGACTGTATGATGGACCTCCACACCGCTCCGCCCCGTGTGCTCCGAGCCCCGGCAGGCATGATGGTGGCCCCCATCCGGCCCCCCGGTCCAATGCCGGTGCACGTAAGTGTCAGTTTTGTGAGTCGGTGAATGGGCACCTTACAGGAACTGTGGCTGTTCCTGTGTGGTCTAAGTGCACACTAATTGAACAAATTTTACTTTACCATGAAGGACACAGAGGAGCACGTGGATCTGGATCACGATCAGTGATCCATCAATGGTTTGCAGACACCATGTTCGTCTAA